CGAGGCTCAAAGCCATGGATCATGTAGAAAGGTGTGTGACCGGTGGTTTCGTGGAGGGAAGAATTGTAGGCCATGGCGTATGATCTGGTACTTTCGTCCCAGTCAAGGCCCTGGCTGTCGATGTATTTCGACACCATGTCTTTCAGGGTCCTCATGAAGCGCTCCACCATCCCGTCGCTCTCAGGATGATAAGGCGTTGTTCTAGTCTTGTGGATGCCGAGCCTCTGATACAGCTCACGCATCATCAGAGATTCGAATTGAGCGCCCTGATCTGTGTGAAGCCTCTCGGGAACACCAAGCTCCTGAACCCAGTGAAGGAGTGCCTCCATCACCGTTTCTGTCTTCTGATTCGGCATCGGGAAGATTCGTACGAACTTTGAGAAGTAATCCATGATCACGAGCACATATCGGTTGCCTCTTCTCGACACAGGCATCTCCGTGATGTCCATGGCTATTCTCTGGAAGGGTCGTGAGGTAACCTCGGTAACCATCGGTGCTCGTCTTTTGGGTGCCGGTCTGTACCGCCGCTGACACGGCGTGCACGAGGCACAGAAGCTCCGGATGTCCTCATTCATCCCCGGCCAGACGAATCGAGCCTTCACCCGGGCGATGGTCCGTCTGCGACCCATGTGCCCGCTCGATGGATCATCATGCGCCAATCGGATGATCTCGGCCCGTTCAGTTTGAGGCACCGCCGCCTGGAACTGTCGACCCGAGGCAATGCCGATTACTCCATTCATGACGCGCACCTTGCTCCAGTGTTTTCGCAGCACTCCCCACCCAGCGAACGCTGCAGGCCTTGGCTTCTCCTTCCTCTCGTGTGCTCTTCGGAGAGCCGACAGCGTCGCGTCACTGGCTTGCGCCTGGGCGATTGGAGGGAGGGTCCGTTCTTGGACTGATTGTGACACAGCGACTGATACAGCAGCCGGTTCCTGCGTAAGCCTTGAGAATACAGCAGTTGGAGCTACAAGAGTCACAACCGACTCAGGCGAACCGCCTTCCGTCGGCGCGGGCGAGCCGCCCGCTACTGACCCCACCGTCTCCGTTCTATCTCCTCTCTCTGAGACAGAGCGACCGGGACACCACCCCTGGCCTTGGGCTTGACCAGATCGGACCGCAGACGCCATATCTGGTGGTCTGCGAGACAGCGCATCAGCGTTCCCGTGGGCCAGACCGCTGCGGATCCGAACATTGAAGTCGAAAGAACTCAGCTCGATCGCCCATCGACCACGACGTCCTGTGCCGTCTCGCTCTGCTGCGATCGATGTCGGTATGTTTGCCAGCGGCTTGTGGTCGGTCACCACTTCAAATCTGGCACCAACAGTGTACTGACGGAAATGTCTGATGCCATGAACGATCGCCCAGAGTTCCTTATCGTAAGTCGGCCATCTCGTCTGCTGCTTTGTGAGTGCCTTACTCTCATAGGCGATCACCTTTTCCTCATCTCCAATGCGTTCAGCCAGCACCACACCCACGGCAGAGTTGCATGCGTCTGTATACAGGACGAACGTCCCTTCACCTGTTGGCAAAGCCAGTACGGGAGGCGAGGACAGAGTGGACTTCAACAGCTCGAATGCAATGCGCATCGGTTCGGACCACCTGATTCGTCCCTCCTCTACTGCGGCGTCCCTAAGTGGCTTTGTAATCGCGGCATACCCCTGAATAAACCGCGCGTAGTACCCGCACAGGCCTAAGAAGCTTTTCATCTCCTCCTCAGATGACGGCTGCGGCCAGGCCAGGACCTTGTCCACGTTATGCGGATCTGGACGTATCCCTTCCTCGGAGACGAGATGTCCAAGGAAAGTCACCTCCTTGCGTGCGAATCGACATTTCTGTGCCTTTAGCTTCAGCCCGGCTTGCTGAATCCTCAGGAGTACCTCCTGCAGGGTAGCCAGATGTTCTTCCTCGGTCCTGTTGAACAAGATGACGTCATCCAAGTACACCAAACAGCTTTTGGTGTCAAGGCCTGCGAGAATCAGTTCCATCATCTTCTGGAAAGTGCCGCTGGCGTTCTTGAGACCCATTGCCATGACTCTGAACTGATGGAGGCCTTTTCCAGTCGAAAATGCCGTCTTCTCTCGATCTTCAGCCGCCAGTTCAACCTGCCAATACCCTGTGGCCATGTCCAGCGTGGTAAACCACCTCGCCCTTGACAGGGTATCGAGCGAGTCGTCGATTCGTGGGAGCGGCATGGCGAAGCCCTTCGTCACTGCGTTCACAGCCCTCAGGTCGACGCAGAAGCGGAAGGATCCATCTTTCTTGCGCACCAACACGACCGGCGAACACCACGGACTTTCGCTTTCCTCAATGACACCATCCTGTAACATCTTTTCTTTTTGTTTCTCTACCTGGTCTCGGACTTTCATGGGTATCCGTCGTGGACGTTGTTTGACTGGGACTGCATCCCCCGTGTCAATCCTGTGTTTTGTCACACCTGTACGACCAATGTCTCCCGGTCTTTTACTGAAGACGTCACTGTAGGTCTCAAATAAACCCCGTAGTTTGTTACGACCTCTCTCACTCAAGTCTGTCAGTTCTGGTGACAGGGCTTGCTGCACCTCCGGTTCCACCTCTCCAGGATCATGAGATGGATTACCTCCATCTCCACAGCTCGCCACATTGCAATCGGCACAGTCTGCCCCGGGACACAAAACACACAGGGCGTCTTCACCGCCCCCAAACGCAAGGAACGTCCCGACATCAGAGCCCTTCAAGAGACGGACGCCCTCCGCTCCGACATTCGTCAACCGGATAGGTATGGTGCCATTGGAGGCGATCACCACCACAGCCCGTGGAATCAATAGATCCTCACGCTCCGCCGTGCGGCTTGGCTCCATCATCCCACTTACCGAGCCTGCTGACGTCACAAAAGGTCCCTGGCCATCAAGTCGCTGCACCACTGCTGCTACCGTTGTTACCGAACGACCTGGTAGTGTTACTGCATCGCCAAGAATGACTCTAGCCCGCGGGGGACGGATCTCAGGGTATGTTGGAAGTGGAATCGTCATCCCTTTCATACGGATCACCCCCTTCTCATCGTCAATGATAGTTCTGTTTTGGCAACAGAAGTCACGTCCAAGGATCACGTCATAGACCAGCCCCGACACCACAGCCAGTCGTGGACACACAATCGACTCCTCCTCCACCTGGATAGGGACATCACGGAGCACCTCAACGATGTTCAGGGGGCTACCACCAGCTCCCTTCGCGGACCGCGTCGGGGTGGTGGCCTGACAAGCCAGTTCCGTTTTCAACCGCTGCTGGAGCCCATCCCTGACCATGGAAAAGTCGGCACCCGAATCGACCAGCGCCCATACTTCGAGGCTGCCCAAGTGGACTCGAATGGCTGTTGCAGTTAATCGGGACTGGATACACGCAGCCGGCTCTTGTCCCACAGGGCCAGCTGCCCCTAGTTTTCCGCCGGCTTATCAGATGGAAGGGCTTCCCTCGACATCAGCCCCCGACGTCCACCCATTGCTGGAGGCCCCTGCTGCAGGCGAGAATGGCATGCCGCCATCCAGTGCCCAGCCTCGCCACAGAATAAACAAAACGGTTGGAGCGGGGTGGCAGCTTGTACAGCCGACTGACAGTTGCTCCGAATGTGACCCTCCTGCCCGCACGAAAAACATTTCACCCTGGTGGCTCTCGGTCCAGTTCTCGGCTGACCACGGCGTACCACCGGGCAGTCACGCCGAAAATGGCCGGGGGCACCACACCCGTAACATTTGACAGCCTCAGGCAGGTGGTCCGTCTTGGCAACGGCGAACGCCTCCAACGAAGACCGCAGCTGGCCGATCTCCTGCTGCAGCTGAGCTATCCTTGCATCCTGCTGCGACCCACCTCCTACCTCTGCATGAACAGCTGACGCTACAGCACCCAGGGGAAGGGGCCCAGTACCTGTATGCGTTGATGGGTTAGCAGCGCGTACCGCCTGGACGACCTCCTGGCGTTTATGCAGCTCTCGGATCACCGCTACAGCCGCAGACAGTGACTCAGGATTACGGTGGCACAGTTTCGTCTGGAGCCACTCATCCCGAAGTCCACATATGAACCGACTCGTCAGGGTTTTCATCACGAACGCCCTCTCTGCATACGTTTCCTCAGGACCTTTTCCCTCCCCTGACGGACCGGTAGAATGAGGGAACGCAGCCCGCCCCAGTCTCTTAATACGGTCAGCGAAGCTCTCAGCTGATTCCCCCGGCGACTGGGAGGCGCGCCCCAGCTCGGCCTGCGCCTGTAAGGGCTCGATTAACCGACCAAACCGGACCCCAAGTCCTGACTTTATCTCAGAGTACGAACTGTCACCCTGATACAGCGAATGCGCATAATCGAGTGCGACGCCATCCAGCAGAGGCAACAGCCGCTTAACTCGCTCAACGTCTCCGAGTCCCACCGTTAACGACTCGAAACGAGATATCCACCGCTCCCAATCATCTGTCTCTATACCCGCAAAACGAGGGGTTCGCGATACCAAAATAGTGTCGTTGAAATCCATGGCCAGCGGAAACAATTCACCAAATTATTCAAAACTGCACCCAGGCGGACCGCCTTATTCCTAACGTTCCCCTCAGAACAGAAAATATCGGCGTTCTATTTTCGAGCAAACCGCCCGCTTTTTGTCGAGCACAGACTAGTTACGATAATCAACATTCATGAACTAAATTTCAATAAATATCATCAAATGAAATTAATGAACTCACCCTTTGTCGTCTTCTGCAGTCCTACCGACCGCGCCAAATGTTGCGGGAGCTGAACACACTCAGACTCGATGCTTTACTGTATTATCGGCAGAGGCCCAAACAAGAACCACAGAGCCAACCGCTCGTAACCACGGTCTCCCTGCCTCTCCCGGGCCGCCGACCGCCCAGCCAGCGCCAGCCCTCGACCCCGCCCGAGGGCCACGCGGCAGGGGCGGCGCCGGGCGCGGCCAGCCGGGGAGGCGCCACGGGCGGCGCCAGGCATGCCACAACGGGCGGTCACAGCCGCCCGTAACATAAACACCGGTTAGCTGTTTCACCAGCAGTCCCAGTGGAGGGAAGTAGGCCCAGGCGAGCAGGGTGTCGCAGCGTAAGTCCGACGATGGCGGCGCAGTAGTCGAATGGCGTCCACATTTAGCCGACGAAGGCTGCGCTGAGCGCCATACCCGCCTCACCTTATCTCCGAGTCACGTGTTCATGACTGACACGGGCAACCATACGGCCCGTCGTTGCCCACGCGCACCCCAGACGGGGCCGCCAGTCGCGGCCCCGGACACGTCAGTCCCCAGATCTGCAGTGATGTCGCCCGGCTCTGACGATGGCGCACAGCCGCCGTGTCCGCGGTCTCCGTCGCCGCCGCGGTATGCGGCGCTGGGCGGCGACTCGTACATGTCGCGGTCTCGCCATTGGGGGCCGAACGATTCGCGGCTCCCGCCGACCCCGCCGGCGACGAGTTTCCTCCGGCGAGTCCTGCGCCGTCTGGCGTGGTCGACGCTGCCCGGGAGGTTCCTGGCTGGCAAGCTGCTGCTGTGTCTACCGACGCACAGAGGTCAGTAGCTCCGGTGCCGGCCCTGCAGTGCTCTGAGAGAGCGTCGAGACCGCCTAACCGATTCTGTCCCTAATTAAGGTCTTTGTAAATATGTGTTCATCGTGCATCGTTTGTGATGTGAGCCGCGTGATCAGCTGCTAACTGATAATTTTTACTGCGATTTTGCTGTGGTCGTTGCTGGCGAATTGTTTAGTAATGTCGTGGCAAGCTGGTTGGGGACGCCCGTCTGGCTGTTCTGTTGACGGAACGCGCCGATCGACATGGCATGCAGCCATCCAGCGCCTCAAATCGGCGAATCTGTCCAGCGTGGTCTCAATGGAGTGCTGAGCGGTGCTAAAGGACATGGTTATTTTCATGCGTTCTGTTCACAGTTTTGTCGTGGCTGTGCTGTCCGCGGCCGTGCTCCACGGTTGCGACGTCTGCGGCCAAGCTGCCCGCTGCTGAGCTCCGCGGCCGAGCTGCCAGCGGCCGTGCTCTGCGGCCGTGCTCTGCGGTCGTGCTCTGCGGCCGTGCTTCCCGTGGCTGGGCCCTCCGTGGTCCCGTGATCGTGGCCGCGGCGAGGGTGCCGCGACCTGCGCGATGCCGTGCGCTGCAGTGATGGCGCCGCGCACTGTGCAGTGATTTTGCCGAGCGCTGCGTACGCGGTGGGTGCCGCGCGCCGCGCTGTTGAGCGTGCCGTATTCGGACGGTGGCTGCCGCGCGCAGCGTGGTGATTGCTGCGCTCTGCCATGAGTGCCGCTCACTGCCGTGGCCTGAGTGCCGCGCTCGGACGGAGTGCCACGCGCCGTTGTGTTGCGTCGCCTTCTGCCTTTTGATATGTGCTATCTCCGAATTTAATGTTGCTTGTTGCCGATGTTCGCTTCTTTTCGTTAAGAGGGTCGGGTATAGTCGGTCGATTTATTCGCACCGTTTGATTTCGTACCGGCTTCTCTTCTGTTTCTTATTGTTTTCTGCGATGTCACTTGTCCGATTTTATATCTGATTAATTCACGTCACTTAAGTATTTATTTTATATTGTCATAATAACTTACGGCGCTGTTCCTTTATTTTCTGTTTAGTTGCAGCCCTAGTACCTTAATTTCCGATGTCTCTTCGGTTTGTTGTCGCTCGCATGTTCAGAGAGTCCTGGTTGGCCGGCGCGAGCGGCGGTTGTGGAATACAAGCTCGTCTGTGAAGGTTGTGTGTCGGAGCCGGGTTGGCGAGGCGGGACCCGTCTACATTTCAAACACCATTGCATTTCTCTCATCAAGACGCGTCGAATGATGAATAATGTGACCTCAAACATAGGCGCGGGAACCGGGGAGGGGGCAGTAGGGGCAGCTTGCCCCCCCCCCCAACTCTGGGGCCGTGGGGCCGTGTATCTTATGGTCAGGGCGCGTGTTTGAATTTATTTTCGGGGGTTGGGTCACTTAACTTGACCTGGTGACCTGACCTTTGATGACCTGGAGCTAAAATTTTCAAAGCCTGTACGGAAAAGACGTATAATAAGCTGTACCAAACCGTTTTTGAGATGTCAGCGAAAACCTGGGGGGGGGGGGGCGTGAAAACGCCGAGCGGGTTAATGAACCAGTAAGACGCCTTTCGGGGCGATACGCGAGCGAGCAAAAGGATGAGCCCTGCAAGTGCGAAACTGAGTGGGGGTATTTCCAACTGACTTTTGCACGGCACCCTGCCAACCGGTCGCTATCGGTGTATCAAATCTGAGCACAATCGGTCCAGCCGTTCCTGAGATCTGGAAGCGGCACCCTCCACGTGCGCACGTGTAGTACACTTCAACGTTGGTCGTTGACGCATTGAAATACATTGCCAAGTTGCTCATAGGTACTCAGAATTTTCCGCCATTCTACGAAAGCTTGCTTCGCTCGCTCCGCTGGCTCGCTTGTAATAAAGCACGTAAAAAATATGTCAACTTAAAGTGCAATTTAAAAACAAAAATGTACGTCCACCTATGCACTACATTTCAAAGCAAAAAAAAAATGTCCACTTATACCGTTATCTCAAGACAAAAAAAAATATGTCCACCTAAAAGTACAGTCCACCGAAACGCTTTTTTGCACCCAAATTCGACCGGCTACCACATCAAAACTAACCGGCATAGGACAGCGGCCAGTTGATATTTTCTTGCTACCTACCTGACGTGTGCTGCCATCTAAAAGTCATCCTCCCAGCATGCGTAGTTTTCAAGTCCACCGAAAGACGAAATACGCTAAAGTCCACCCATCCCGGAATTTGGAATATGTGTGTTCTATTGATCGCCGAGGGACGCACCGCGCGTCTGGTGGCCCGTGTCAAAGGATCAGTCCGCCGTGGCACCGGACGTGCCCCCCCCCCCTTCGGCAGATGAATGGGAGGGGGGGGGGGGTATACGACCGACCCGGGGGCTCAGTGTACCGCTCTGAGGTAATGTGTAGTCCATCGTGGGAAAATTATCAATAAACTTTTAATTAGATGCTTGAGATGCTCGAGATGCTCAAGATGCCATGACTGAAATGGAAACACTTAATGCTGCTTATCAGAATAAAAACATTATTTTACACGCTACCCGATCAGCTTTAGGTAGGTCGGGCCTCGGCAATGAAGAAACTGTTTTAATTGGGCTGCTAATTGCTATTCAAGTTTGAATCTTTTTTAACATTTTCCGCAAGCTTGTTATTGACAGTGGCTTTGTGCATTCTTAACAGTTGGAAACAACATTGTTATTGATCTACCAAGAAGACCAAGTTTATGGATGAATGATTGAATGATAAAAATGCATGACATTTGATCAACTCTTAGGTCTGAAAGGCAAGAGGTCGAAGTGCGAGTTATTTCAGAACACGCTTTATCCCTCTGCTGCCGCTGTGGGTGTGCCCTTGGGCTGGCTGAGCTGATTACCTTCTACCGCCACAATAGGTCAGCACCTCCCGACCGCGCCGACTAAGGGTATCGGTGTGTAGGCGATATCCACAGCGAGTGGCGCTCCATTCTCCGCGTTCTACCGCTGCTGAGTGGCGCGGCGGCCGGTCACAGAGGCGCGCGGCCGCGCCTCTGACAGCCAACAGTCAGCAGACCGGCCCGGCCGGGAAATATGGCAGGCCGGCCATTGTGGCGCGGATAATGGCCGTCACAATGGTCCCGCCGGCCCGGTAAAGCAGACATTTCGGTCATTTCGGCCGGCCGCATTGACCGATGCCGGTAATTATCTGGGTCTGCAGGCGAGGGGGCTCTTAGCATGAGGGGGTGATTCTCTCTGCTCTCTCATGGCTGCCCCTCACACCTCTGACCTCGCCCCACAGTGATGTCACATGCCAGCCGTGCAGCTGCCTGCTTCGGCTGCTCACATTTACGCCAGCATCTGCCATGTTTCAGGGTTTTGCTTACCAGCCGGGGTCGCTCTCAAATTTTTCCAGCCATCGTTCGCTTCTTGTCAGTTTTCCGACCTCGGTCCTCTCGCTCACACCCTGCTTGCCGTGGTCTTGGTCCGCTCGCTCTCAGTTTTCCAGCCTTGGACCGCTCGCTCACAAATTTCCAGCCGTGGCGGCGCATAACAGCAGCCGGCGGCTCCGCCCGACCGCCTCCGTCCGCTCTAATCACCACTTCAGAGCTGCCCGATCAGACCCTCGGCAGCGACGGAGCCTTTCGCTCCGCGTCGACCTCTTCCCCCACCACACACCAGCCCCTCCCGATAGCCAGCCTGCCTGGTCCCAGACTAGACTTGACATCATACCAAGTCCGGCCTGACTTCACCAGACCGCAGCGGACGAAGCGACCACCTAACCAGGCCCAAAGACATTTCAACAAATGTAAGCTCACCCGCTCCGCGCACCAGAGTCGACTCCATGCCAAACTAAATACCATACCGGACCTAATATCATACCATCAGTATGATACCGTTCCGTGCTTCTATCCTCAGGATACTGAAATCTTTCTCCTCCACGCCGCAACCCCCCTCCGGGCTGGACAGGTAACTTTATCTCATGCGGGCTGCTCCCTTGGAGCGGCATCGCTGCTCCCGAGGGAGCGCACCCCGTAGCCGGGTGCAGTGAGTGCCATGGGGCTGGGTGGCCTGTCCTCTGGACGGGCTCAGCCCCGGCGACTCACTAGGGTGCCTGCCCAGACCAATGTCTCCCCCTAATTCCTAGCATCCTTCCGGCTCTGCAATGGTCTTGTCGACCGAAAGGGCCTAACCCAACAAAACAAACAAAAATATCATACCAGACGGACCTAATACCATACCGGACCTAATATCATACCAGACGCAGCCTCATGCCACCAGCTCGCCTGGGCCTGCAGACCAGGCACCCGGGACGGGCCGTGTCGGCTTACCGACGAATGAATGAATGAATACTGAAGCGGCGGTGCCGGCCCGTCAGACGGCCGACCGGGAGACCTCCGCACCGCAGCGCCCGCCGGACCAAATCCCACGCGAACGATAGTTGCCGCCGCCTACCCCGAACCTACTGACCTGGCGAGCCGCTCCGACCCTAGCCGGCTCCCGGCGCGTCAGCCGGAACAAGGGTAAATCATAGCGAACATCATTTTTCATAACCAGGGCGGCTTTGTAAATCGGTTTTCCTGCACAAAAGCCGCGACCTGAATATAAAGATGCTCCGGGGGGCGGCGGCAGTGATGGATAGGTCCATTAGAGCGCAGCCTAAATACGTGTCAGCTCGACGAACCTCTCCTGGGAGGCACCACAGCGACGAACCGGCCTGACGTATGGCCCTGCCAGCCAGCCGCATCTAAAACAATGACCGTCTACGAGCGATACTAAACAGGATGGCAGGAAGCCTGCCCGAAAAAGCCGCGGTGCAGGCACTGTACCTAATCCATAAAAAATGCGTTCATCTACGATGTTTGACGACAGTCTCCTCTGGTATCATCAGTTCTACCGTCCTGAACGCATTACGGATAGTTTCATTTGATCAGAGCACGCCGAAACGGCTGTATTTTCGCCGGTCGGCCGTCGCTGGTTGGACTTCTTGTTGTTATAAAGTCGTGGCCGGGTCCCGGGCGATACCGGGCGGTGGGATATCGGATCAAAACAAGGCCATTCTATAGGCCAATCTGTTCTGTCACTGGTAAAAAGCTCGCCGTCCCGGCCGCCTGTTGACGGAGATCCGGCGGCCGGGCGCGGCACGCTGAGATTGCCCATCAGGCGGAGGCAGCCATAGGCCGGCCGCCTGAACACAAGCCCCCGCTGCGGCCGCGGCTGATTGAAATTTAAAGCCCCGTACATCTCTGTCCTCAGAGCAGGGGACCAAGAGCAGCTGGGTCTTACCGCGAGCGAGGCGCGTCACGGCAAAGCCGAGCTTCGCCCATATCATTTAATTATAAATAGATGTCCCCGATATTTTCTTGTTTAAATAATATCTCAACGAATTTGGAGCGGCTTGGCCTCTAAACTCGTAGACTAATCTACTGCTTCAATAGTTGGTCAACAGCAAGAAAGCAAACTTCTAACGAAGGTGTTCGATTCAATTCACTCTGTGGTTGCTGTTCACACGAACTTCCTAGAAACCGGGCTGTCCGAACTCACAAAAACGAGAACATTTCTAAACGAACACATATCAAACAATAAATGGCGGTTTGAAATAAGACAGCCATTTCATCTCTAAGCCTATAACCCTCTTCACAGAAGCACACGACTCCATTTGACACGCAGCCCTGTTCTGTTCTGCCGGCAGTGGTTCTGCAAAGCTACCGAGTGACGGCGACGGACGGCTCGGCCCCTCTGGGCCAGACCGCCGTGCTCACGTGCCACGTGCCCGACCACGTGCGCGTCACCGTGCGCGTCATCTCGTGGGGCGTCCAGGGCCGTGTCAACGTCTACCCTACTCTGCTCGGAGGTGAGTTGTGCAATGCATTGCTTGCACTACACATACCTTCCTTTCTATTTGTACTTTACCTAAGCATTTTCTGAAACCCGGAACCTCTCTGACACCCAAATCCCATGATTTGCTGCGGGCTCCCAGCCCCCCGACAGGCAGTGTTAAGGTCACCTCTGCTCGGAGCTGCTGACACAGAGTCTGTCAGAGCAGCTACCTCCGGCCGTCTGTTCGGCGAAATTAGTGGATTTCTGTCAGCTGCCGCGGATTGGTGCTCCTCAGAATTCCAGTCGTCTTCACAGATGGGATCATCATGCAGCTGTCGGTCCCGACAGACCATTATAGAGCTGCAGAAATGGTTCGGCGTTATATGACTGTTCGTCTCTGTGGGACCTGTGACTGTCTGTTTCTGTGGGACCTGTGACTGTCGGTTTCTGTGGGACCTGTGACTGCTGTTCAGTGAAGGAAATGTGACTATTCCGTGTTCACTGTTTGTTTCTGTGGAATCTGAGACTGTTGGTCTTTGTGTGCCGTTTGCCTGTTATGCATGACTGAAGGCCTCAGGTCGCCGTTCAATGGTTGTCTGTTAACCCGCGCCCTGCTGGGGGGGGGGGGGGTGTTTGAACACCCCCCTTGTGGTTTTTCGCGAATATCTCAAAAACGGCGGCTTATCATACACCAATTCTACACATGTTGTAAAAATTGCAGACCAAGGTCATTCAAGGTCAGGTCACCAGGTCACTTGAAGTGACCTCACCTCATAAAAAGTTTCAATGTCTGTCATAGCTACACCGAGTGACCGATCGCTTTGGAACTTTCAGCGATTGCTAAGAGCAATAGCATGTACAAAATGTATATCTCAGAATTTTGATATCGATGACCTAAGATCAGGTCAATTTTGCGACCTCCCCATTATAAGTCAATGGGAGAAAATTGAAATGCGCCTATTTTGGACGAAAGACATTATAAACACTCCCAAACACCGAATTACAAGTGGTTTAGACACACTGAATATGAAAATGATGTCCGTGACCCTTGCTTATGCCCTGAGGTCATCTTAGGTCACGAATGGTATCTAACAGTTTTTCGCAAATAACTTTTGATAGAGGCATGCTAGAGCGATGAAAACGCCTCATAAGTGTTCAGCTCGACGATACGGATCGACTGATATGCAACATGACCCTTTCCGATCAGGTCATGACCTTGACCTGAGGTCAAATTTTCAAGTTGACCTTTCAAGGTCAAGTTATAGTTCATTCGATGCGTCTTGACAAGAGGAACACGATGCCGGTGACAGTAAGCTCGTACAAGGCTTGGGTCAAGAGTTATTGCAGAAAAACTGTTTCAGAAAAAATTGGCTATTTTTGCAGTTTTTGCCCCTTGCTGGCAAAACCGTTGACGTTAGGTCAAATCTGAGAGAATTATTCAGAAAGGGCGTTAGTAGGGCTATCGAATGCGCTTTTACGCGGCGCTGTAGCTCTATTGGTTCCCGAGTTATGCGTTGGCTTCTTGGAAATTTTCGACATTCGACCTGGAAATCGGCGAAATTTTGCCTTCAATGACCTCTGGTGACCTGACCTTTGACCTGACCAAAAATTGACTGAAGTGATTTCGTCATTATTTTTTACGCTCTTTCGAACGCCGCCTTCCGCGTATCGCTACGTGGCCCAGGAGCCGAGTTATAAGGGGGTGTTCAAATACCCCCCCCCCAGCAGGGCGTGGAAATCCAGGACCCCCAGCCGGGCGCGGGTTAATGTGGTCCGACATGTGACGCAATTATCTCGGTGAGCTTTCATCTAACCTCGCTCTGTGAGCCATTGTAAGACTCAGTTTCTTTGTCTCTTTTATGACCGTCGGTCTCCAGTCCGCCCCGCTGTATGGCAATCTCTCTCTTGAAGGTCACCACCTATATGACTACGGCCCTCTGCGAACACTGACGGGGTTTTGATGTCGGCGCCCGGTACGTTTAACGAGGCGCTGATGAGCGGAGCGGCGGCGCCTGAGCTGTTTAACGGTGCAGATCGCATCAGCGGTCGGCCGTGCGATTCATCGGATTGGTGCGGCGATCCTGCCGGAGAAGAGCGGTGGTCCATTAGCGGCCACCAGCCGGCGTTGGAACACTTTGAATGTGTGGGACTTCCCGGGCCCAGTGTCCCACACCGGCCAAGGATTAGGTTTCGTATCAGCGCTAGTTTCTGTGCGGGCCACTCGGTATGATTCTCAGGATTCAAAATGTGTCCCGTGTGAACTATCTAACACGATGACCGGTGCGGACCCATAACACATAGGATCCGCTGGTGATTTACCATTTAACATGGAGTCCGTATATTCAAATATGCGTTCAAGAAGACTAAGTAGAGCATGCAAGGCAATTGTTACGGATTGGTCAAATCAACCGTGCTTTTCTCAAGATGCGCAATACGCCTAATGTTTCTGGAGCTCACAATCCAATCTACAGTTAACGCCCGAGTACCTATACATAGTATCCACAATAAACGCCAATTACCTACATCTCACACGACATTAGTAGGGGTAACACCAACGCATATTTGGCTAATGTGTTGTTTAGACAGAAATAACCCTGCGTAGTGCGAAGTTCATCATGCAGCTGATATGACAGCCGATCTCATAAATTCAGCCGTTTCCATCCGTTTCCTTCCGGCGTGTTTCCTCTGAGCCTTTGCTGCGTTCGGTGCCCCGTCGTGCGGCTTTGGGATCTGATAGAGCCGGCGACTTTATATTCAATCTGCCAGACCCGGCTTACCAAACAAGTTTATTTCCTCTGCAGCGTATCTCATGAATAATTTTCGCGATATATGTGACCCTGGCTCCATTTCGGAGTCACTGAAGCAGTTTTCCTTGGTGTTGCTTTGAAAATATTTGTTGCGAGGATTCAGGTTATCGGCATTTAAATTGCTCTTGCGTAGGTAGATGCGTTATGCATTGGACTCTTTCGTATAAATGCATTTTGCACCGCGAAATAACTGACATAAACAAAATGAAACTGGTTTATTTAATCAAATCAACCAACTACATAGATACCTAACTTCTTCTGGGTAGATAGACATTGCCCATTTATGCATCAGATTGCCAAATCGATCTGTTGACTGAGAATCAATTTTTATGACTTACCTACCTCTATAACATTTCTACGGCTATGGATTCTCAGGAACTCGGTTGAAATAAAAGCCAGTCACAGTTGAACGATACATGCAGTCAACAACAACGACAAAAACTGGTGCAACACAACTGGACAGCTATATGCACGGTGCACCGTGCAGTTTGCACTACGTTCCTACAAAGGTCTCGGCCTTCTGACCGGCAAACCTTTGTCTATTTTCTGAGAGCTGTAAATGTGCGCGGGGCTTTACCACACACCCCACGTACTGCAGCGGTGCGGTGGGCGGCGGCGCGGCGATTTGGAACGCCGTCGGCACCTCGCTCCGTCTGATGAGGCACGGCCGACGTTGGCGCAGTGGGTGGACGAACCTGCTGTCGAACCCGACGAGCCCGCGCCAAACGACCACCCGCCGAGCGAGGCGGGAGCGCTCAAACGGGGCTCATCACCGAAATTAGATAACTCGGCCAATTAAATAGAGACGCGCGGTGGGTAGCGGGAACCACAATGAGATGAAAAGACCTCAGGCGTCTGTCTGTCGGGTCGTCGGTCTGCGGATCTGTCTGTCTGTCTGTCTGTCTGTCTGTCTGTCTGTCTGTCTGTCTGTCTGTCTGTCTGTCTGTCTGTCTGTCTGTCTGTCTGTCTGTCTGTCTGTCTGTCTGTCTGTCTTTCTGTCTGACTGTATGTCGGTCGGCCTTTCAGGCCTTTCGGTCTTTCGGTCTGTTTGTCCGTCGGTCTGTCGATCTGTCTGTGTGTTTCTAGCTGTCGCTAAGTACAAAGCTGGACAGTGGGCACCTTGAGGCTTCACACACGCCACTGGAAATAAATGGGCCAGAATTTAGGACCGTTGAGCTGCGGACCTTCATTACTCAGTCTTGTCAAAGACCTGCCACTGGGCGGCATGGTAACTGAATCCCATCGCAGGACTAGCCGTTTCCTTAGGGCTCAAGCCATGCAAGCGGAACACAACTGAGACCATATACCAACTGTCCCGTATTTTTGTAAGACATCCCTTGATGCTCGGGACATTTGGTACAATATCGGTGCATAGGCTGCTGCACAATGAATATTGAAGCACTGGATCATACGTTATCTATTATAAGGTGTCTAACTACTCACACCAATTAGGAACCTTTCCGGCGCTGAAAAGACAAACGGAAAGAGCGGGTAAAGGCTAATTTGAAGGCGCTGTTAAATGCTACTTATCAACATCAAGTTCAATGCAACTTATTTATATCAATCTCGATGTGTTAGTTCCCGCACTACACACGATGCTTGCAACCTCGCATCAGTCAATGGAAGTACGAACTTCCCAGAATGAGGTCGGTGAGAACGGCTGAGAGCCGTTCGGTTGGTGATCTGTTTGGAACGTCAGCGTGAATCATTTTATCTGAATTGATTGTAAAGGTATATGAATCCGACCTTACTACCCTACAAATCGTGTTGCTGCAATGCTCGTTCCTAAAATAGGCATCAATCTCAGTTGAGAGCAACGGTATCAAATTATCTTTCGCTTACATATTCCTGTTGAATTACACCAAACCTTGCACCTGTTCTATATAAGTCACCAAAATTTTAAATCACCAAATGAAAGTGCAAGTTTCTGGGAGTAAAAGTTGCCCATGACGCGGCCGTGCAATCTTAGAAGTAGTGCGGGTCAAGGTGGACGGGTCGCGGGGAACAGACAGAGCTCCTGGGACCGGTATGTCTCATGTACGTATAGGCCGGATGTGTCTCAGAGACGGACGGGACATGTCTTAGCAGCCAGTTCTCTCGCTACCGGTGTGGCTCAGCAGACAGGACCTCTGTCTTAGGAGACAAGTCTCTGTGTCTTCGAAAGCGGGTTTGGTATGTCTCTGCAGACACAACTGATGTATGTATCTCTGCAGACACAAATCACGCATCTTTGCAGGCAGTTGCTGTGTGTCTTTGCAGACAGTCGTGGTGCATCTCTGCCATCATCGTGGTGTGTCTTACCAGACAGTACAACAGGTGCAGCATGCCACTTCAGACAGGCGCGATGTATCTTTGCAGACAGTTGCCGGTGTGTCTGGAACCATTTGTTGTCGGCCGGAGCGCAGCAGTCAGCGCCCAGCTTATTTCCAGCTGCCGTGAAAATGGTGGCGGCCACGGCCGTATATTGGTGCCGCCGAGACTGTCCCACCGGCGACGGAAAACGACCAAAGAACGGCCGGCGCCGGCACCGGCAGAACCGAATGAAGAGAATCACTGCTGTGCTGGTCTGATGTGTCCAATGATATGTGCAATTCATTGATTATCTGTGAACGACTTGTGTATTGTAACTTGTACGTGTTAGGCATCCATTTTTTTTTGCGCTGGTCAAGCACCCAGGGAGTCACGTGCTGTACTGATAAGTATGTACCTAATCTGAGGGAGGCCTACCCTGATCTGGTGTGTCAACTGTCCATTGATGTGTCTTTTGTTGGCCTGGTGTGTATTGACCAGTCTAAAGTGCTGATCAGTTGTACAATGGCGTGGTTGCTGTGCTAGTCGCGTACCAGTGAATAGGCATCATGTGTACTGAATGACGTGTTTGCTAGTCATTTGTCCTCCTGTGACGCGTAGGTACTGAGCTGATCAGTGACATTGACTTTTTCAGACGACAAATACCACATGGTGCCGTCCGGGGAGCTGCTGGTGCGTGACGTCACCAGTGATGACGTCACCGACCGATTCCTGTGTCGCACGGTGCATCTGCTGACGGACCAGCACGTCACCAGCGAGCCGTCAGCCAGGGTCGTCATCCGAGGTGAGTCGGTGCGACCGTCACCGGCCGTCATCGACCGTCATCGGCTGTCTTCCGGTCATTAACCCTATTCCTGGCGGGGGGGGCCTCAGGAGCCCCCCTGAGGTTTTTTGGTTATATCTCCCAAACGCGTTGAGCTAGGAAGCTCAAATTTTCTGACTTTTCCTAAAAGGCTTCTACGCAACATGTCTGAAAATTTTGAGTTGATCTGACCTCAGGTCAGGTCACCAGAGGCGGTTTGGTGACGCTACCTCAGAAAAGTTTGCAATCACGCCAGAGCTAGAGTTTTTGACCGATCACTTTCTTCTCTTCAGGGTTTAGTTAGGGTACCAGTATGTGCAATTTGTATATCTCGGAATTTTGATATCGGTGACCTAAGGTCAGGTCAATTTCGCGACCTCCCCATTATAAGTCAATGGGGGAAAAATCAACTCCCTGTTTTTACCACTAAAACGGGTCGGAATGGCCCCATATACCATACATGACTTCATATACGATCAACCTTCACTACCTTGAGGTCTGTTTTGTTGTTGGGCAGCTGTGAGGTCATGTGACGTCATCAAAGGTCACCAGCGGTTTTTGGCCAATAACTCCGTACAGGAACAAGATACAGACGCGTGGATGGTCTCATTGTGTTCAGCTCGTCAAGACGCATCGAATGATATACATGATGACCTCGAGGTCACGTGACCTGAGGTCAACCTTTGACCTTGACCTTTCGAGGTCAACATATATATCATTCGATGCGGATTGACGAGAGGATCACGATGATGCCCTTAGTTTGTTCCTATCTTGACTAATTCGAAAGTTATTCGAGAAAAACTCTCCATATCTACAGGGTGGGGCAGCATAATCGGGAATAAATATCAAACGGGATTATTTGGTCATGAATCTAAAAATATAGCTCCAAGCACTATTTTAGCAACATCCTATCAATCGGTCACCTTTTACCTATCCCTCATCCTATTTGACCGCCCTCGGCGTCGATGACCTTCTCAAGGCGGGTCCAAAAGCACGCGCATGCACGTGCAACCTCCTGCTTGTCCATGATCGCCCATCAGCTTCGTACCTTGCACTGAAGACTGTTTTTACTGATGATAAGTTGTTCATTAAACTTCTACCAAAAAACGCTCCATGTAAAGAATTTGGTCGGATTTAAATCGGCGGAGTTGAAGGACCAGAAGTTTTTGGTTCATCTCAGGTGGAGGTGCCCTACACAATAACATGTCGTCCTCACTGCAGTACCAGCACGGACAGAGTCCTCGTAAGACGTGATTTGGACCGTCAGTGATCCTCTCTTCCGACGGCTCCACGTGAGTCTGCCAGAGTGCGGTTGTATTTACCAGAGGTGCTCATTTTATCCGGGCTCGATGAAGTAGGGTGCACCACGTGCACCTCCCTTGAAGACCACCCATAGGTCCATCACCCCAACAGGACAGGGCCTCCTCTAAGGATTTTTCACTGGGTGGGCAAAATTTTCGCCACTTCCCCGCCCAAGGGCGGATCCAGCCACTTGTTTTGGGGTTCAACCAATTTCAAAACCTGTTACCGGGGGGGGGGGGGGGGGGTGCGGGGATGAGACGAAATAAGCTGTGCCATTATTGGAAATAAAATGATAGTTAACGTTTGTCGTATGTTTTATGGTTAGCGATGCTCGAGCGATTCGTTCCAGATTACATGTACAGCCCTCAGCAGACTGCGTGGTAGGTATTCTTTTTCCGACAAAACTGATTATAATTCAAAAGTCATGTTATCAGTCGGTCGAAGCTCACTGCAAATAGATGCGCCATGCTCCACTCCTTCGATAGGGCCTATCAATAAACAAAGCATACCTACGCCTTGTGTGGCAACAAAATGTTTAAGTTCGTTTTGGGGGCAAATATAAACTTTTGGGTTTTGTTGCCAAACTGGATGGAAAATGCATACGATGATAATGCCAATCTAAGCTGCGGAGTCTCGCGCATCTTTCTGTTACGATTTCCGAGTGCCCGATAGCATAGTATTCGCGTTATTCTCGGTTTTGTCGAAAAAAAGGATACCTACCACGCAGTCTGCAGAGGGCTGTACTTGCAGCCCTCCGCAAAAACTGCGTGGTAGGTATTCTTATTTCGACAAAACCGATACCTAATATCTCAAAGGTTATGATAATCAGTCGGTCGGAACACATTGCATATAGATGCGCCATGCTCCACCCCTTCGATTAATTCAGTCACTGAACAATGTGTACTCTTACCGTAGCAAAAAAGCATAAGTTTGTTTTGGGGGGAAATATAAACTTTTGTGTGTTGTTGTCAAACTAGATGGAAAATGTATACCAAAATAAGCCCAATCTAAGGTGCGGAGTCTCGCGCGTCTTGCTGTTACGATTTCCGAATGACCGTTAGCGTATTCGCGTTATTCTCGGTTTTGTCGAAAAAAGATACCTTATACCACGCAGCTTGCAGAGGGTTGTACCTTTATTGTACGTGCCTTTTCACTTACGAGACAATTACTTGATAACTCCAATATCGGCAGGGGCGTGGCCAAGGGGAGAGGGAGGGGCCACGGGGGCAATGGCCCCCTCCCTTGAGCGCAGAAGGCGCCATGGGGGCCCCACAGGCCCCGGGATATTTTTTTCTAACACTGGATAAAACGTATTTTACTCGGAAGCAAATTCAAATCAATTCAAGTTTCATTTCTGTGGCCCTGGTTACCCGAGGTGCCCCTGATTACCCAATGGGCCCCTGCACCCTTGTGCAGGGGCCCAGACCACCCTTGTGGCGCAGTTGGCAAGTGCGTTCACGTTTGGTGTGGGAGGTCCTTGGATCAAAGCTGACCTCTGGCAGCGTTTTCCTCGGCCGGCTCCTACCCAGGAGATGGCAGTAACTGGGGAGTGTTCGCTCGATCGTGGGGATTACCGCTGTGCCAGCCAGCGCCCCCGGCCGCAGGTACACGGGCCTGATCCGCCTTTAAACAGATCCTTCGGTCCGGTGACATGTCCCGAGGGCACGGCCTCGCTTCATGTCCCGGAGCAGCCCTCTGACCTGCCGGGCCCGAGAAATCGGGATAGCCCCAGCGTGCGCACCAGTGCGGTGCCACCTGGGGTGCGTGACAGGAAGCGTGCGGTCAAGGCTGTCCCGCGTAGCGGGTGCCGAAAACGATTCGTACCACTGCCGTGTATATAGTGTACTAACCCAGTATGAATGTGTGCTACTAACGACAAAAGCCCGGGTCGGGCAACAAAAATATTAAAAAAAAATGGGCCCCTGCACTCATCCGAGGACCCCCGGTTTTCTGGGGCCTCTGGTCGCCCAGGGGGCCCCTGGTCGCTTGGGGTTCTGGTCGCCTGGGCCCCTGCCCCCTGGTCGTCTGAAAGAACGTTTGTCACCTGCAGTGGCATAGCCAAGGAGGGGGCCAAAGGGACCATGGCCCCTCCTGGAAGCCAGGGGTCCTTATTCCATAGAGGCCCCTGACTGACACAGTGGGCCCTTGGCGACGCAAAGGCCCTGCGGCAGATCCTTTGACACAGCTGAGTAGTTATTCTTTGGCCAAGAGAGACCCAATTTTAGAGCCTTGGGGCCCTATTGAAACCAGGGGGCCAGTTGGATGGGATGGGTCCAACTTGGGTCCAACGGTGTGTAAACAGAATCAATGCGTTCCGACTGTTGGTCTGACCCTATATCGGTTTGAGGGAGCTCGGATCGGATCCACTGTCGATCTGAGGGGCCCTTATCGGTTTGAGGAGGCCCTCAAATGACCTGAACGGGCCCTTAGTTTGTCTGAGAGGGCCTTACGTCGGCCTGACTGGGCCTCTGCAAGTGCAAGGGGCCTTTTTTCGGTCTGAGTGGCTAGACGGCTTATATGACCCTCAGACGGCTTACGAGGCTCTCATGGGCTATAGGGGCCTGTGACGGTCTGAAGAACCCTCATCCGACCTACGGGTCCTCAGACCGCCATCAGAACCGGCTGGCGACTCTATGAAGCTATTCGTGGGCCTGTCTAACAGGGGCCCATATACTGCTTATCCCCTCAGTTCTAACATTGTTTGTTAATGAATATTTTTTCCATTTATTTGGGCCCCATCTAAAAAAATATTGGATGCAACCCGATGGCTTTTTGGATTTTGAGGGGGTTATCTTGCGCCCTTGTGCGTTTAGCCCCCTCCTTGAGGAAATCCTGGCTACGCTCCTGAATATCGAACAACCAGAACACTTTTTTTGACCTTCAAACAGCATCCAGTTTGCTTAAGACCGGAAAGGTAGTACCGGACGTCCGGCCGGACCTTTATTTTTGCATTTGCTTCTGGGTGGGCAAATCGACGCCACTGGGTGGGCAATTGTGGCGACTGGGTGGGCATTTGCCCACCCAGTGGGTATGTTAGAGGAGGCCCTGCAACAGGATGTTTACTTTGCATGACCGCTGGAATATTCTCGATACAATCCCCTATATGGCATGCCATTCTTTTTTATCGTAACCCAGTCGGTGATAAGATTTTTTGTCGCTGAAGTTTTGAACATTGTTTCTTTTTAATATGCTCAAGTGCTTCTTCCTTATATTCAAGTGAGTCATCTTGTATGTCCTCTGCTAAGAGTTATTTTACGACGATTACGTTAACCTGTTGTCCTAAGTATCCCCACACAATCCTTATCGTCCGTGATAACACGTTGACCTGCCCAGCAACCTTTACGTGGAATTGCAGGGTTTTAAACAAAATGTTCTTGTTTTACTTGTTTAACATTAGTGTCTATGGGCGCGCGCAAAGCACTTGGAGCACCGTCGAACTATTTTGCTGCTCTTTTCCAGGAAGTTGCATGCTCATGGATGTAGTCATGTCAGATGATGCACAACTTTTGGGCGTTTCATTGCCATAATATAATTTATAAAAATAATGCCATGCCTACTCATGATCAGAGCCCAAAAAGCATTCCCGATTATGCTGCCCCACCCTGTAGTGCCGCCATTTTGACTTTTTCGACCCCTGTGACGTCATCTTTGACCTGACCTGAAAATGACCTTAGTAAAAATTGTAGATCTTGGCCGTGCGTATCCGATGCCGTTTACCGCTTGTCGCTATCTTGCTTCGTTCTCGAGATCTCAGGGGGGGCCGAATCGGCCCCCCCCCGCCAGTTTCTTGTCCCGGCGGAGCCCGCCAGGAATAGGGTTAAACACCATCCCATCATTAAGTCGCCAGTGTGCCGTGTGATGAGACGAATCCACCGATAACGTCGGAATTTAATGCATCATATCGAGACATTTTCATGAAATTGTAACATTTGAGGTGGAAGCCTTTGATATAGCTGTAAAGTTAAAGACGAGGGCAGTAGTTGGCAGTGGTGATGATACGAGTACAAGTATAGGTATGTATGTGAAATCCACACATTGCTTCATATCTAAGTTCTTTTTACTTTTAATCCATTGGAGTGATGACAATTTAAGCCACAGATACCTCCAGATAGCAAAATATGAAATATTGTTTTGCATTCTGTACGTCTGATAGGCAACAGAAAACCCCAAGACTGTAGGTAGGGTAGACCGGGGCAAGTCGCCCCGCCGAGGTAAAACGCCTCACCGATGTTTCTCGGAACTGGCAGAGTTCTGGGGGAACATCATCTCTTCTATAAAACGTGCACTATATGATCATTATATGAGCAGACTGGAAAGAAATTGTGACGACTCTTTCGGCAGATATAGCCAAAAATGTGTTTTTTGAGTGATTTTTATGTTTTGTCATCAGATTATGTATCATGGCGTTCTTTTATGGTCCACATCAGGTTAACGAATTTTATGTATTTTGAACAACTATTGTCTAACGCTTATCATGCCGGGTTGGTTCGTGTTAAATTATGTCTTGCTGGAGTGCAAGGCGTTGTTCTCTGACCGAACTACGTGATGGGGTAAAACGCCCCAGTAGGTCGCGGGGCAAAAAGCCCCTGGGGCGTTTTACCTCATGTGTTGTTCGGGCTACCCACTTTCTAATGTTCGGTAGCTGGCGAACAGGAAGTTTCTATGTCTTTATGTGTATTTTTCTCAGCAACTGGATGGCAAAGGAAGTATTTGGTTAACATTTGCATTGCAATAATTTATTATTTGGTCTTATGAGGTAGGTGAAAAACCTGCTCATACAATAGTGTCATAGCTGAACACCTGACAGGATGGAATGTGCTAACTTCAGTGCCGTGCCTCCAGAGGTCTAACGGACCTCTCACATAAGATTTAGCCAACTACCATGTTGAATCTTTAATCTTAAGTATGGGGCTACTTGCCCCAGGCCGTGGGGCGTTTTGCCCTGGGGTTGGGGCAAAATGCCCCATTTGCAGTTGCTTCACAAATCACTTCCTAGCTTGGAGTCCGATCATAAGTGAATGAATTTGAGGGGTGCAATTTAAAGTAAAATGTCCAAAGAACGCATTGAGCACAAATTTGGCCTCCCAGGTGATGTGGGACAAAATTTATGTAGCAAAATAAATTATCTGGGGCGTCTTGCCCCAGGCTACCCTACTAGCACATCTTGGTCATCTAGATTTCAAGAACATCAATTTCGCCACCTAGTCTAAAGGGTAGCGCGCCTGGGGAATGATATGACAGAATAGGTGACTGCTGATCATTCGTTTTCCTCAGAGCGGACGCCGTCACCAGGAGGCAGCCTTCCAGTGATCGTGGCCTCGTCTTCGGCTCTGCACGTGCGGGCGGGAGACGACGCTGTCCTCTTCTGTGTGGCCCAGTCAGACGAACGCACTCCGCCCCGAGTCAGGTAGGTCCGGGCCGGGCCTCTGTTCTTCGGTGTGTCTCAATCTGACAAGTCCTATCCAAGTGTGACGAGCCTCAGAGACCAGAATCCAACCCTGACGAGGTAAAGTACGCACGACGCAGATACATCGGAGACGGAATTCTGAATCCGTCCTAAATGCAACGTAATACGATACAATTCCTCTTTCTTTCCCAATTTCGCTAATCCCAGAAACTCTTCCGCTTATAGGCTAAGTGCTTTCTTATACACACATTTCTGATGGGTTAACCCGGCAGTTGCTGGGGTATTTCGCCACCCACCGTTTGCTGGGGGGGGGGGGGGCGTTAAACGCCCCCAGCCGATAACTGGAGAACCAATAGACGCAGCGAAACGCACGAGGCGGCAAACGAAAGAACGCGACAAGACGCTTCAGATGAGTACTTTAAAGTTGAATTTTGAGGTCACAGGTCGGGTCAAGGTCAGGTCAAACACCTGAAATCGGGCTTTCAGTAGCATGGACTTCAGGACTTCGCAATGGGCGCCTCTCGTCATAAACTCTGTCAAAACGGTACACAATCCATCATATAAGGCCTACAAGAGTGTCAGCTAAATGTAGGGGTCAGTCAAGCATAGGTCAGGGTCAAGGTCAGGTCAACCGGGTAGGCACATATCCCCGAAAATCAAAACTGATATTCGCAGCCTGTGACACAAGTTTTATGGGTAATTTGGGGCGTAGAACACGATGGTGACATTCATTTTATCATATGTGTACGTGTTTGGCTAAAAAAGCTCAATTTAAGAAATGCATGTATCATGGTCGTGAAGTAGTCACGAGAAATTGCCAAGATTCAGTTCAAGATTTTGGAAAATTCGGAACGATAATCAATAATCGAAGATAGCCATTTGATTGTTCAAGGTATTGGCAGTCTAATGGCGTTTACGGCATGTCTGTATGTCTATTCTGTGCGTTAGGCGGCACGGGCGGACATCGATAGCAGCGCCTCTATCGGTCACTAGGGAAAGCTGGGCTGAAGGCGACGAAATACCGGCTGAGTTGTCACAAGATAGGTTTATAGACATCCGTCTTGTGAAAAAGTTGAACTTTTGCCTCCAATATTTCTACAGACAATTTTAGAAGTGCCTTCACATAGATAACAAAACCGTTTAAATTATTTTATTCACTTCAAGCCTTCCCTATTGTTCTTGATGATGCGGGATTTATTTCTAATTAGTGTTTCTAGCTTAGTAAAAGAACATATTGTGCAAACGATGAAAAAAGCATAAATGGAACATTTTAAATGCAATTTTCTGTAACAAATAATGGTAAATTATCTACACATCAAGGAAAAGGTGCATGCTAACTGATAATTTAAAGTTCTTGGGGCCAGTTGGTTTCTTCTTTTCTTACGTCGCCCCAATGGCCGCGAATACACTTGTGATAACGCCTATCGGATTTTATATTATTTTTTGAACATATGCCGTTTTTGGTCGAAAACTCAGAAATCATGACGTCACTAAAACCTCGATATCTCAAAAATTTTCCGACCGATTTTTTTAACTTTGTCACAATAAACTTCAATCAATTCCCTACAGGTACCCAAAATTTGGCGCGCCTGCGGCGCGCCGTTTTTATACTATGGCCCGGCGAAAAAAGTGGGGGCGTTTGACGCCCCCCCAGCAACTCGCGGGTTAACTTAGGTGAAATTACCATCCTCACGTTTACATGCGAGATCTGCAAGTACAAAATTCAACGAAATATTCCTACCACGGTTATCATCACAATCATATTTCACAGGTATGCCTGATATCAATACCGCAGAATTAGCATTTTACATCCACCGGCTCATTCTGAATTGCCAACTGTTCTTTTGGGCCGAATCGATCATCATCTGGCTCCCCGGCGTGCCCGTGGCTGTGTGTCCGGCTTGTAACGTTCTTCCTTGACGGAACCTCCTTTATCCGCTGCACGGCCTGTCTAATGCTTAACGATAAGCTGGAAGTGATTTATGAACCTTTCCCTGCTACAAAAATCTACAAAACAACGCTTAGGAGAACGCGGATTGTCTGCATCTGCATATTGTTCCTATAATGTTCAAATCTTCTCCACTAAGTTATTATCCCGCGAGTTGCTGGGGGGGGGGGGCGTTAAACGCCCCCACTTTTTTCGCCGGGCCATAGCATAAAAACGGCGCGCCGCAGGCGCGCCAAATTTTGGGTACCTGTAGGGAATTGAATGAAGTTTATTGTGACAAAGTTTCAAAAAAAATCGGGTCGGAAATTTTTTGAGATATCGAGGTTTTAGTGACGTCATGATTTCTGAGTTTTCGACCAAAAACGGCATATGTTCAAAAAATCATATAAAATCACAGAATAGACATACAGACATGCCGTAAACGCCACTGGACTGCTAATACCATGAACAATCAAATGGCTATCTTCGATTGTTGATTATCGTTCCGCATTTTCCAAAATCTTGAACTGAATCTTGGCAATTTCTCGTGACTACTTCACGACCATGATACATGCATTTCTTAAATTGAACTTTTTTAGCCAAACACGTACACATATGGTAAAATGAATGTCACCATCGTGTTCCACGCCCCAAATTACCCATAAAACATGTGTCACAGGCTGCGAATATTAGTTTTGATTTTCGGGGATATGTGCCTGCCCGGTTGACCTGACCTTGACCCTGACCTATGCTTGACTGACCCCTACATGGAGCTGACACTCTTGTAGGCCTTATATGATGGATTGTGCACCGTTTTGACAGAGTTTATGACGAGAGGCGCCCATTGCGAAGTCCTGAAGTCCATGCTACTGAAAGCCCGATTTCAGGTGTTTGACCTGACCTTGACCTGACCTGTGACCTCAAAATTCAACTTAAAAGTACTCATCTGAAGCGTCTCGTCGCGTTCTTTCGTTTGCCGCCTCGTGCGTTTCGCTGCGCCTATTGGTTCTCGAGTTATCGGCTGGGGGCGTTTAACGCCCCCCCCCCCAGCAAACGGTGGGTGGCGAAATACCCCAGCAACTGCCGGGTTATCTTATAAAAACAGCCTAAAAACTGTAAGTTTTTCAGAATTGAGTACTTGAACACTGAACAGCCATGACGATTCGTTACACACACCATTTTCTCGGAAAAATGACATAAGACAAAGTGTAATGTCTGTTGAGCTTACTTTGTGATCAATGAAAGATATGATTCACTTATTCAGAAGTCAGCAGTCAGCTCGGCAACGCGAGCCTTTGTTGGAATAATTTTGTCCCTAGAGAAATGAGATATGAAGGAGGCGGCGTAAATCTTCGCCAAAATTCATCTTGCGTTCTGACATAAGTTAGTGGAGATACCGTCGGGAGATGCCTGGCCGGCCGGCTTTTCAGGCAGAATCCCTCCGCATTCACTGCACGGGACGAAATCGCGGCACATTTTGCCGAGCCGGGGGCGAGTGGGTGTTGTGCTCTCACTCCGGCTGTAGGGTTCCATTCGGAGATGGTGTTGCTCATTGAGTTTGACTCAGGCTGGCAGGTCACGTACGGGTCACGTACGGACCGCCACTGAATAGTGGTCGTGATTCTGCTGTAGCTGCGACTGACGAAAGCACAATTGATTCGTTATATAAGGGAGAAATGTATGCAGAGTTACTGTACACGTAGGTACGCCTGCCAGTGATGTTTAAAATCACATCGCACTAGTAGCAAATATATTTCTGTTTAACTTCTTGAGTTGAAGGTATAAATTGAATATACTGGATAGTGAATTCTATTAAATGTCACCTTAGATTGTGACAAATAACAGTGCATTGAAGTCTCGCCCACCAACTAGTATACAAGGGAGGTGCACTCACACTTCAGCGCCTCCGTCATACCCTACACTGCGTTATTTCTTTCGACAGCTGGACTCGAGACGTGACCGGTCGGCCGGAGCCAGTGCCTGCGCCGGTGACCGGTCATGGTGACGTCACAGCCTCAGGTCACGTGCTCGCAATCCGTTCAGCAAGGCCGCGTCATGCCGGCTGGTATCACTGCAGGGCGGACGGTGGCAACGGTCACGTGACTGAAAAACTACGGCTCCATGTGCAGGTGGGTTAGATGATGGGGGAAGGGAGAGAGAGAGAGAGAGAGAGAGAGAGAGAGAGAGAGAGAGAGAGAGAGAGAGAGAGAGAGAGAGAGAGAGAGAGAGAGAGAGAGAGAGAGAGAGAGAGAGAGAGAGAGAGAGAGGAGAGAGAGAGAAGAGAGAGAGAGAGAGAGAGAGAGAGAGAGAGAGAGAGAGAGAGAGAGAGAGAGAGAGAGAGAGAGAGGGAGGAAGGGGCATAAGGTGAGACAGACAGACAGACAGACAGATGGAGAAAGACATGACAGACAAACCCACAAACAAAGAGCGAGGGAAATGACCGGGGTATGTCGGGAAAGACCGAGCTATGTAGATGCAAACAGTGGTCAGTATTTACATATGCATAGTGTCGGGCTGCACTGTGCGGTCACCTTGGCACTCTCCGGTCGGCCGGACTGCTCCGTAAAGGTCAGCGCCGCCGCCGCCGCCTGCCGCGCTCCCAGAGAGCTGACGTGACCCGGCCGACCCGGCCCGACACGGCGGGCGGCCGCGGTGGCTGACCGAGCGAGCGGCATGCGGCGCCGACTGCCGAATTACGGCCGCCCCACCGTATAACTGGTGGCTCGGATTGGATTTGGTGGCACCGGCCGAGATGGAGCCACTGTGATTTTACCAGAAAATGCGGAATATTCTGCGCGTGTGTAGTTTCGTTCGGTCAGATTTGACCCACTTGGGGCAATTGAATGTGGAGTTCATAGCAGTACGGTTAGGCAGGGCTAGGTATGCAGTGCACTATGCATGCATGTATATTTTGAGGTTTCATAAGTGCGCTATGTTTCGTAACCTTGGCCTGAGGTCTTGGACATATGAGCTAGAAAGTCGCCTGGATTGCAAGAAGAGTGAACAACTTAGTTGCCAAGTTTCTGCATATTTCAGTCATTGCCGTCCGCAAATAGGTACCAGCACTCACTGAAACACGCCAGGCTATCTTCGAACAGCAGGCTTTCCCTTTTTGGAAAGTCAGAGAAGTTTGGCCGCACCAAAGTTAGATGTGCCCAAGGACTGTGCTTTTACTTTTTATTAC